GGGTTTGCTTTTCTCTTTCGGCAACAAGAAAGAAGAAGAGGGAAAATAGAGAGAAAATGGTGAGAACGGTTGTGGGGGGGGGGCTTTGAAATGAGAATGGGTTTCTAAATAACCCTAAAATGGGATTATATCCCAGTTTCAAAACGACGTCGTTCAGTGGGTAGAGGGATTCAACGTGTTTTTAGAAAAGGGCTAATCTCAACTTTAGTCATTGCTCCTTTGTAAACACATACCCGTGTCCTGGGCTATAGGGGGTAAATGTCAAGTTTGGTCCCCAGTATTTTGTAATCATTTTATTTAATCATTAAATGTAATTTCTAATGCTCTGTTTTAGGCATGTATCTTTCAATAATTATATTTCATTCACTAGTTTGTTTATTTTGTTATGTTTGTGTATGTTTTACTTTAGTCATCAAGTTTTCAGTTATTTTATTTTAGTCACTTGTAGCCTGTGTTGTGTATTTTTGTTGACATTCGAATCTGGCCATGTCATTTGTATACATTTTATTTTAGTCACTAGTTAGCTTATGGTTTAATTACATTGTAAGGGTCCCCGTGTTTTGTAAGTTTGTTTAAGGGCTTAGTGTATTTTATTTATTTTGTACTTCAAGCCCTATATTTTGTAAAGTTTACATATTGGTCACTGGAATGGTTATTGTTAATATTTCGTAAAGTTTAGACATTGTACTCTTTGTTTATGAAACTTTTATTTTGATCATTACTCTCATATTTTGGGTTAAATATTGATTAATGTCTGTTTATTTTACTTTCATTATATTTTAGTCCTTATCTGGTTTATTATAACATTTTTATTAGAGTTCGAATTTGGCCATGTTATTTTATGCATGTTTCATTTTAGTCCGTGTTTAACATTTAGCTTAATTATTGTTTAGTTCTTTAGGTTTTTTTATTTCATTTCTGTCCCTCCAGTTTCTGTATTTATGGTTATGGTCCTTTATTTTTTTTATTTACTGTTCAATATTTTAAATTTCTGTTAGTTATATTTTAGCTCCTTAAATGTTTTTTAATATTTATTTTGGTCTATAATATTTATTGATTTGTATTTTAGTCATTTATGTATGGATGTGTATTTTACTCATTAGTTAATTATTTGTATTGTGTAAATAATGTGTTTGATTTCATTTAATGTAAATATTTGTATTTCCAATTACATTTATTTTCATTATATTATATTTTTATCTATGTATGAAATATTCGAATGTTTCAAGAACATGTATTTATAGAACGGGCTTGGAGAGTATCACTTGATCGATGTGGTACAATCCGACACGACGTTTGAACGAATGGGAACTTGAAATCAATCATCTTTATTTTTGTTAATTAATTCATTTCGTATTTTAAATTTAACAATGTAATGCATGTTTATCTAAATAGCATTTTATTTTATTTTATTTTAATGCAAAAATGTCTATATTATTTATATTCGATTTGCGTTTTATATATATTCGATGAGGGAATATTTTTTACGCATAAGAAATAGACGAGATAGCATTTTCGATGGAGGATTGCTAATTTTGAGGTTTCTTTTCAAGTTAAATAATTTTTTCTCTCTAATTAATTCGAAGCAAATTAAATTAATTTTAATAAATGGATCACAATTTAACTTTATATTCGATTTATTATTTCCACCATCTACGACAATGTGTAAGCGATTCAGTATCAATTTTTGGGCGTTGTGGGGTGTTTACATTTCCCCACACGTAATAAACTCCCGAACCTGTTTAAATAAATCTTTGGTAAACGCAAACCAGTTTTTGTTTTAAAAATGATTTTTTTCTTAAAATTGTTTTTAAAATACGTTTTTAGGTATTCGACCTATCTAACCCAAAGGTCGATGGCGACTCCCATTCGATTTAATTCAAATTAATCCAAAATTCCCCAATTTTTAAAATTAAAGTCATAACTGTTTTAAAAAATAATAATTTAATTATTTTACCTAAAAAATGGTTATGACAGTTTGGCGACTCCGCTAGGGACATTTTTTAGAGAGTCAAGTTGTAGGTCGCTTACACATTGTCGTTGTGGTCGAAATTATGAGTTCGAATCTTTAGTTAACTTCTGATTCATTTATTGAAGTTTTTTTAATTGCTTCAATTTTATCTGTCATACTAACAATTTAATCTATGTTTTCATATTCGTCAAGGTTTTATCAAGTTTTTTCCTTGTTTCATTTTCCTTTTGAGTCAAAGGTAGGTATGTTCCTCCTTACACACATCACATACATTTGCATAACATAAGCTCTAGACACGAGCTTCGATCCAAATTAGTTAGGGTGATTGCTTTACTCTCGTAAGAATTTATTCTTCGTATGAGTTTTAGCAATTAACCCATGGGATACATACCTTATACCTTCGTAGGGATTTATTCCTCGTATGGGTATCAGGCAGTGAATCCCCTCGAATTGAACTCGTTCCGTTCGAAACCTGTAATGGGTGAGGATCGAGGGTCTGGCAGCCCAAGGGGGCACCGACATTAAGGACAATTCAAGTCGCATTTTCTTGTTAGAGCCTAAACCATGCATATAGTGAACCGTAGAATGGTCACCTAGGTATTGTCATACCGAACCTCTTTCCGTCAGTAGGTACCCAAAATAGGTATACACAAAGGAAGAGCGTTTCTGAACCTTTCATTTTCCTTTTAAATTATGTTAAATAAAAGCATGTGAACTAGATACCATGCAGTTAGGATCAATTTCTTGAAAAAATCATTTTGGGTAGATAGCATGTTTGGGCAGGAATGTTATTTAATTAAAGCATGTTCGGGTAGATATCATGACGGGGTAGGTATTATATTAATCTTTGAATAACATTTTTATCTATATCGATTGTCTTACATGTACTAACTAATTTCTTTTGTTTGTGTGCACTAACTTATTTATTTTCTGTTGTTTGTGTCATTTTTCATTTTATTTTTCATTGCATTACATCGTCATAACATAATGTGAAAGTGTTGATCTACAAGGGGATATCTATGAGAAAATTTTCACAAGAAGATGTGAAAGTTTTCAATCAAGCAGTCACGAATACAGACATGCACCGAAGGCTACAAGAAGTCCAGAATACAAGAATGAGACTTGCTTGAAGATCTGCAGCATTCGAGACTAAAATGATGATACACTGATTCAAAGAGTAATCCATCAGTGGCTTCAGCATGTCATCGCTAGTCATCAAGGATCGACGCACTGGCTTCAGCATAGTCGAGGCATTAATGGAGTTAGTTTAAAGAGCATTAAGAGGCATCAGTTCCAAATACAAAGATCCGAGACGAAGCAGTGAGCTCGAAGACTGTGCAACATTCGAGACTGAAACAATGATCCATTGAGCCGAAGAGTAATCCAGCAGTAGATTCTCATCTACAATTATTTCATCGCTATTTATCAAGGAGCGACGCACCGACTTTACCACAGCAGAGGCATTAACCAAGTTAGATTACAGAACGCTTAAGGGGCATTATTTTCGAGGACAAAGATCCGAGACGAGGCAGTGATCCACTTCAGACTCAGTATCCAAGCAAAGGCATGTTTGTAAAGTGAACTGTCTTGTAATGTGAAGACTTTTATCTCTGGTGAAAATTATTCTAAGATATTTATCGTTGGGATCAATATTTTTGCATCTGCATTTGCATATTTGTATTTTGCATCTGTATTCCATTTTAAACATTTTTGCATACATCATTCATAAAAGAAATGGAGGATTCAATGAAGTGGTCTTAACCACGTGACACTACATAGAAGCAAGATTCTAATAAATTAATACAGTGGAAGCATATTCAGCTGGTGGTAGGACTGATCCTCATTCCAAGATGATCTAAGAAAGAGTCCCCATATCCTGAGGGCTATGATATTGATCCAGTATGCAATTACCACCTAAGAAGCTCTGGACATTCTACTGAAAACTCCAAGGCATTGAAGATCAAAATCCAGAATCTGATTCATTCAGGGGCATCCTAATGCTAAGCAAGAGAAGTCATTGCATCTATTTGCATCCAGAGAGATTATTTTGTTTGACTCATTATTTATCTGTCTTTAATATTTTCTTATTTTTTTTTAATCTTAATGATTGAACTTATGTTACCTTCTAAGGTTGAGTAATTGAACGAGTTTTAATCTTGAGTTCTTTGAATATCAAATGAATTACGAATTCTTTTAATTCTTCAAGAATTATAGATTTTTGACATATGACAAGATTATACCTTTCTTATCATGTCCAACCCCAAAATAAACTCTCTCAATTCTTGACCCAAAATAATTCATGGCCACTGCCAAAGAACCAAATTTTGACATTCCTTTTCTTTGAGACTTTTAAACATTGCCTTTATCTTTTTTTCGAGACACAAAAAGTCATACCCTTATCTTTCATTTAGCTAATAAATTCACACCATCGTCTTCCTAGACTTTAAACCAACATTTTTCTACCAATAAGACCTACATACATTGAGTACAAGATTGTTCACTTGAACATGAAGCTTCCTACAAGAAGACAACATGGGCATATCACATCAAGTTTCTGAAGATGAGCTTGTACAATTGAGACACACTGAGAGCAAGAAGCAGAGAAAAAGAAAAATAATTCAAAATAATTCTATCATGCATTAATTACATTTTTCATGTGAATAAAAATTATTCCTGAGTATTTATCCCCCTGGGGATACCTCTTCTGTAAAGACTTCTGTGTATGAAATGATGAACGATATTCTTTCATTTATCCCTTCACAAAAGGAGAAAATATACCCCTTGTGTCCCCTTTCTGATTCAACCCTAGCCAAGGATCACCCTCCACACTGGGGGGAAGTTGGAGGATATCTGCTCGCATGAGTGAAGATATTGATTCAGATGAGATACCAAAAGGTGAACCAAATACATAGTGCAAAGATCATATCAAAGCGAAGAGAACAAGAAAAAGAGAGAAAATAAGCAAAGAAAAAAACAAAGGGCAAAAAAAATAAGAAAAAGAAAAAAGAAAAGCAAAAACAAACGCATAGTTTGATTTTGACTGATGCAACTTTTGATGTCATGCAGAGCTGGAAATGCAGTGCAAGGAATAAGAGGATTGAGAGAGAAGTTGACGCACCGTGCACATGGAAAACTGCAGACGAGAAGAGTGGTACATTAGCTGCTGCACTCCTGAAGATGTTAAGACAGGAAATGGATTTTTATATGAGATGCTTTGCACAGAACAGTAAGCCCAAGAAAAAAAAAACATCTGGATAATCTATTCGAGCATAAATCAAAATCATGAGATAAGATAGAAGAAAGGGTCTCTTACTTCTGAATGGAGTGAGTTAAAAGACAACCAAAGAAAGAGTAAATGGGAGAAGCTAATTTTCAAATTCACAATGCAATTTTTACTTATGCCTATGTTTTGTAAAACATATCAGCTACATACACCAACCAAGAATAATGCCTTAAGAAAAAAATAACATCCCTTGACAGTTGACACTCACCTGTACTAGATTCTTTTTTCCTCTTTAGAAAAAATTAAAAAAAAAAAACTACAGAAAACACCTTTTCCTTTGCAGAATTAAACAGATTTCTTAGTTGAACCCAACCTGCTTAATAATGAAAATCAGACATTCTTTTTAGTTAGTAAGCAAACCTAGAACTCAGGCTGGAGCTTTAATCGCTTCGGCCATCCATATTTCACCCCAATAATCTTCCCGAAGGAGTGGAGCAAGCATTCTCTCAACAGAGAACCTCTGCTTACAAGGTTCTTCAAGAATCAATAATTGAGCAGCCTCACAAGCCTTTGCACTATGGAAACCAAGTGTCCATCTCCCATCGGCAGGGGGATTGGAAACTTTAGATTGGTTGCCTTTAGCTTTAAAAAAATCTGGATCGAATTCTCTTATCCGAAGATGTAACCATGTTGGGTGGTCCTTGTCTATCTTCGGCTGGTTCAAGTGAAAAGAGAAAGAAACAACATTGCAAAGTTATCAGAGAATCAATTATTCAATTCAAGCTTCAAGTATTTGAAAGAATCAAAGTCTTTTCATTGATTGCTCATGTCAAACAAGGCAATCAATACACAAGGTACTGAAAAAATAAAAGCATAATAACTAAAATAAGGGAGTAAATAGAAAGGGATAAATATGCAGTGGGTTCCATAGTTTCTATGGTTACTTCTTAAATGGTGAGGCACTTTATACATCAGAGCTCATTCATTCATTTAATTGGTAACTTGTGCAATTCACACTCTAAGGTCTACTCATTTTTCCAGCAATTGATCTCTCACAACAAGATCTATCGTATGTAGTAACAATATGTAAGCGCAACGATTGAGTAGGTAGCTGACAGTATTACTCTGTTCTTTTGGAAGAAGCATAACCTTCCAGGTTCACCAATTTTATGATGGATAATAGATCAAATATACAGCACAGTGCGGAGAAAGGAGATGGTTAAGAGACATATAGGAAATTTAAGAAGCCAACCATGAAACATGATTATTTGTTGATCATGTTTATAATTTTGATAGAAAAGAACATGCCAAAGTGTTCATACCAAACATATCCTCAATTTCCTCATTAGAATCACAGTCGGAGAAGAGGGAAAATAAAAATCAAATCAGCAAAATACTGACTCACGCTTAACCCGGCCAGTGGAGCAATGGCAATTACTACACCACGCTGACTCCGGAAAGGATGCTTCTCCGCAAGAATCAATTTTCCAGAAATTCCTTGTGCCGCTGCTACTAGGTACACATCCCTGACTCCAGCATACGAGAAAGCAATCCTACAAGGGATTCCTGATCCTATAGAAAAGTTGGATAAACCAGAAGAGTCAATTTTCCAGATATGTAATTTCAGTAAGATAGTCTGGAAAGTTTACGGAAGATAAATTGATATCCAACCTAAAGAGACCTCTGACCCAAAGCTGGCAGATGAAGCATCTCTGCTAGAAGTTTTTCCCAAATCACTATAACTCCATGACTTTAGTGAGGGCTTTTCAAGTAAACGTCCCATGAAAATAAATGCCTTGAGCTGAAGATGGAGGATGAAAACCTACATTTATAAAGTTCTGTAAGATTTCCAATGGGAAAACAATAGTGAGAACTGAGAACTCAAAAGGCAAAACTTGTAGGAGATATTTTCAGAATACATGCAGCAGTAATGCTTTCAGCAAGACTAATTAATCAAATGAAACAATAGACGAATTATGTCCCAGAGCAGATAACCATAGAAATGAAAGTCAAAATGCTAGTAAATAAAACACATGAGACTGGTATACTTCAGTCATGTTGCCACTCAAAGGAATAATTATTTCAATCCTATACATGTATCAAACCATATTTTAATTTCTACACTTCTCGTACTTGAGCATATAAATGGAAGTTAAAATGCTAGATACTTATTTCAATCCTATACATGCGTCAAACCAACTTGATTTCCTTCAGTTATTAGATACATTGTATGCATGTCCACATTTGACGATAAAACTAAATACTCAGGAAGCTTAATAAGGTTGAGAACACCATCTATAACTACTAAGTAAATACAAATAAATTCAAAAACTATATATATGGAGTTATAGAAAACCTTTACGGTGTCAACCATCCTCTGCCAAGCAGAATATGAGTTTGAACTGCCTGCAATGAATAAATAACATGATGAAATAAGTGCAAGAATTTAATGAAAGGTCACATATGAGTGAGAAAGGTAGAGAGAGAAAAAGAGTGAGCGTGTCAGGTCCTTCCTCCGATGAGGAATGGACTATCTTTGTTGATAATCTTAGTAAGCGAGTTACTAGAGGTGAATTAAGAGAGATTTTCAACCATTATGGACGAGTAGTGAGGGTCTTTATTCAGAATATCAATGGAACGTTGATTGATGGGAAGAGAGTATCGGTGGGGGTTGCTAAATATAAGAATTCAACGAAACGAGTAGCAGATGATAGAAGATTACGGATGGAAGCTAGTAAGCCATGTAGAGGGAATCAAGGAAGTCGTGAGGAGGAGATAGAGTTATCGAGAAGTCTGAGGGATGGAAGAACATATAAGGATGTTTTAAATGAGGGTAACAGCCTGAGATTGGAACAAGAAAAAGGGGAGAAATGGGAGGGCTAAAACATACTTCAAAGGGATTAAGGAATGTATGGAACTGCATATCCCTAAAGAAGATTCTGGCTGGGCGAAAAGTTCGTTAACAGGGTTATTAAATACCCTTTTGAGCCAGAAGAGGTGACAAAAGCTCTGGCAAAGGAAGGATTCGATGTAAAAGTAGTAAGATGGGGATATGTAAGGAATTCATGTATTATCATGTTCAAATCTAAAGAAGAGTATTCAAACGTGTGGATGAAGTTCCGAGAGGAGCTTCTCTTCTGGTTTGACTGGTTGGCTCCTTTGTTGAATGAAGAAGGTGTGCCTTTAGCGTATTGCTTGGTTGAGCTTGATGGATTACCACTTCTATGCTGGAGTGAACCTTTTTTATAGAAGCTTGCAGCCAGGTGGGGGAATTTATATGTATCCCGACCGAGACAAGAAAAAGGGAGGATCTCACTTCGGCGAGAATATTCATAAGGGTGGCCAGCCCCTTTGATGTACCAAATTTTATTAATATAGGATCTTATGGAAGGTCCTTTAAAGTTAAAATAAAATTAGGATCGAAGTGCAGAAAGGTCCCTGCTTTAATCGGAGATGAGCTACAGACGAATTTTGAAGATTGCTACAGTTATGATTTTCCGAAGGAGGAAGATGAAGGAGGAAATTCAAAAACTAATGATGATCATTGTGGGACGTCATCAGAGGTAGTAAGGTCAAAGGTGATCACGTGGTTAGAGGAAGGAAAAGAAAGTGGGCTACATGAAGTAGGTGGGAGATAGTTTTTGGAAAATAAGTCCCACCAGGAACTTTTTATTAATAGGGGGCAGAAAATTTTGAATTTGAGACAAATCACGAAAGGGACTATGTGGGTCTTGGGATTAGACAGGATGTGGACTCGAAAAAGTCAGCCCAATCAGATTATAAATGGGATTTTCCATCTTCGGAGCAAAAAATCATCCCTGGTGGACCAACTTTTAAGTTCAAGTGGGATGGGTCAAAGAAACATAATAAGTTCCGGTTAGTTTCTAGTAGAAATGAAGATGAAAGAGGTATTACAGCAGAGGAAAAATATGAGGGAGACAATCAATTAGAAGCCTACTCTCTTGATATGGAACTAGATTCAAATCTGCAGCAGGAGGAAAACATTGATGTTAATTTGACGATCCCTCAGCAGTGGAACTCAGTTAATCCGGTATCTAGCTGTCTGTCTATTAAAAGTGCCCCTGACGGAAGGAGGAAAAAGGACGTTTTGCTAGAGTTTACAAAAGGTCAAGTGATAGACGAGTGTGGCTTTGTTCGGGCATTGAAAAGATTTATATGCAGTCAGAGGTTAATCCAATCCAGGACAAGAAGAAAATAGATGTTGGAAACTTTCAGCAGCTCTCAATAACTAATGGGGTTACAGAACAGGAATTGATCAACAAATGAATATAAAGAGATCATAGGAGGAAGAGAAAAACTTTAATAAATGAAGCTCTAGATTTAGTAACTACTTTAATTGTTTCATCAACCACTTTTTCGATGTGTTTGGAGGAAGCTGGGATGTCTGTCATATGATAGGAATTTCGTTCAAGGACGGGAAACATGCTTTTATCGACAACATTCTAAATCTGGAAAAAGATGCAGAGGCAATAAGGAAATGTTGAGATGGGGGAGACAAATGTTTAGCATCATTTACTGGTGTTTTGGGTTTTTAGTAATAATATTTTGAGAATTGGGGGAAATTTGTTAAAGGGTTTGTTGTTGTCTACGTCGGAGGGGTCTGCGGATGGGTTGATTACTATGTGGAATGAAAATGTTTTTGAAGTCACAAGACAGCATATTCATAGCAGGTTTCTTTTACTAGTTGGGAATTTCAAAGAAGGCAAAAAGGAGTGAGCGCTTATAAATGTTTATGGCCCTTCTGTCGAATCTGAAAACGAAGAGTTTTTTAGGGAATTGTTGGATTTTGTAATTTCTTTGAATCTGCCAGTGTGTATTGGGGGTGATTTTAATGCGTATCTCGATCCGGAAGAAAAGATAGGGTGTTCACAAAACTGGCATACTATAGGCATTCTTCGATCCTTTGTACAACAAACTAATCTCATAGATCTGCCCGTTTTAGGAGGATCATTCACTTGGTGTAATAACAGAGACACACCTATGTGGGTTAGATTAGACCGGTTCTTAGTTTGTGGCAGATTCCTAAGCAGTTTTCCTAAAATTTCACAAAGTCTCCTACCGAAATCCATTTCCGATCATAATCCGATTCTGTTGGAGGATGCAAGTCTAAATTGGGGTCCCAAACCCTTTATATTTTTTAACTACCTATTAGAGGAGAAAGGTTTTGATGAAGTGGTCGAAGAATCTCTAGCAATGGATAAAAAGAAGAGTAGTAGAGGCGGAATTTTCATAATTTTGTAGGTTACCAAAAACAATATCAGAAAATGTCCTGGCAGTTGTCAACTAGGGCTAGCAGACTCTATTTCATTGCTGGAAACAAAAATAAATGAAATAGAGTTAAAGTCACAAAGAGGAATTCTAAATACAGGGGATTGGGATGAGTTGATAAAATCCAAAAAAGAATTATGGAGACTACTTAGAATCGAGGAGAGTATTTGGTTTCAAAAGTCAAGATCGAGATGGATAAAAGATGGAGATAAAAATGCGAAGTTCTTCCACATTAGTGCTATGAAAAGGAATAGAGTAAATTCTATTCATTCCTTGAAATTCGAAGGGGAAGTATTCTTGAATCCAACAGAGATTAAAGCCATTGTGTTTAAGTTCTTCAAGGAATCTTATAAGGTAAAATCAACGATGGAAGTAGAGGGTATCAATCTTACTTTTACACAATTGACAGTAGCTCAAAGTGCTTTCCTTGTTGAGGAATTTTCTGAGCAAGAAGTGTGGCAAGCAATATCAACTTCAGAAAGTTCAAAAGCTCCAGGTCCGGATGGTTTTACTATGGGTTTCTACAAAAAATACTGGAATAGCTTGAAGGAGAAGACTGATTTTTTTTCCAGAATTTTATAATGGAAGAGAGTGGGATTATGGGGTTAATCATGCATTTATTACCCTTATTCCAAAGAAAGGTAACCCGAAGAGACTTGAAGATTATAGACCCATTAGTCTTGTTGGCAACCTTTATAAAATTTTATCTAAAGTGCATTCAAAAAGATTGGTCTCTTGTGTCAGATATTATTAGTACAAATCAGTTTGCTTTTATCCCGGGAAGACAATTGTTGGATTGTGCATGCTTGGCTAATGAGGGCATTGATTTTTGGAGGAAACAAGGGCTTAAAAGGTTGGTATTTAAAGTGGACTTTAGTCGAGCATATGATACGGTGGAATGGCCGATTCTTCTCAGAATAATGAAAGAGATGGGCTTCAGTGATAGATGGTGTTCATGGATTTTGCAGTGTGATTCTACAGCTTCAATCTCGGTTTTAGTGAATGGGTCTCTGACAGAAGAGTTCCCTATTGCTAAAGGTTTAAGACAAGGTTGTAGCCTTTCTCCCCTGTTGTTCAATATGGCTGGTGAATTGATTCATTTGATGTTGACTAAAACCGTTGAATTGGGGATATTTCAAGGGTTTTCTTTTGGAAAAACTCAAAATTCTTTTACTTTGTCTCAATTAGAGTTTGCGGACAATTTAATTATTTTCTGTCAAGCTTCTATTACTCAGATTAAAAATGTAAGAAGAGTTTTGAGAATTTTCAGCTTAATGACGGGGCTACATTTGAATTTAGCTAAGAGCAAACTATATGGTATTAATGTAGAGAATGACATCCTACAAGATTGGGCTAAGGCAATTGGATGTTCAGTTCGTTCATTTCCTTCGATCTATTTAGGCCTTTCTCTCGGAGCAAAAAAGAATTCGGAGAAATTGTGGGAACCGGTCATCCAGAATTTTAACAAGAAATTGGCTATGACTGGCAGATTAGTGGTTCTAAAGTCGGTATTGTCATCATTACCCATTTTCCTATCTATTTTCAAGATGCCGAGTAAAATTAGCCAAAAGATTAATTCCTTGATGGCGAATTTTCTATGGGGTAGTGGGGTTGAAAGGAACAAAATACATTGGGTGAGCTGGAAAAATGTTTGCAAACCAAAGAAAAGTGGAGGCTTGGGAGTAGCTGATATGAACCTTACCAATCGTTCTTTGCTAGGAAAATGGGTGTGGAATTTTGCCAATGAGAAAAATTCATTGTTGAAATTTTTTTTATGTAGCAAACATAATGTTAGTTGTTATACCATGGACATCAATAAGGTTATCTCTCAGCAGGATTCTTGGATTTGGAGAGGAATTGTGAATAATTACTTGAAGGATGATTCCGTGGGAGACTGTCTCAGATCACATGCAAAGATACAAGTGGGGAATGGTAAATTTATCTCCTTTTGGAACGACACTTGGATTGGGGATTTTCCTTTGAAGATTTTGTTCCTAGGATTTATGCACTTTCTCCGAATAAGTGGGGTAAAGTGGTTGACTTTGGCAGCTATGAATCGAATGGATGGGAGTGGATCATTAAAACTAGGAGGAATTTATGCGATTGGGAAGTAGGACAGCTGCTGGAATTATTGGAGTGGCTACAAAACATTAAAATGGTGGATACAATGGACGATTTTTTATCGTGGAATGGAAGAGGTGATGGGTTGTTCTCAGTAAAAGCTTGCGGGTTGTCACTAGAAACTACTAAAGATGATAGTTTTTTGTGGAAAAAATGGGTTTGGTCGGGGTTAGTTCCTCTAAGGGTAGAATCTTTCCTTTGGCAAGTTTGTCATCGAAGAGTAGCTGTGAGAGTGGAGTTGAAGAATAGGGGAGTTCAATTAGGGGAAGACGGTCTTTGTCCTCTTTGTAATCAGTGTGAAGAAACAGTACAACATCTATTCATTTCCTGCTCAGTTTCATGGGATCTTTGGAACAAAATAATAGGCTATTGGGGATTGGTTTTAGCTCTGCCTAATGACCCTTCGACACTTTTCAGCTCCTGGACTGTTTTCAGACCGAATTCATTTATGTGGAAGTTTATCCCGGGAGCAATTTTTTGGTCAATTTGGAAGGTGAGGAATAACATTGTTTTTGAAAAGGAGAAGTTAGACAGATCGTCCTTGTTTTTCATTGTTAAATTCATATTAGCCAAATTTCTTTTAGCAAAGTACCCTCTTGTTCCTATTCAAGTGGACTTGTTGATTGGAGACCCTTCTTTGGCTGACAATCTTACTGATTTTAAGGATCAAAACAGGCATGTTTTATGCTGGAGTCCTCCGATTGATTTCTTTAAAATGAATGTGGATGGGGCTATCAGTACTGTTGGCTTTATAGGTGGAATAGGTGGTATTCTTAGAGAATGGAATGGTACTGTTCTAATTTCATTTTCAGACAATATTGGTCCTAACCCTCCTCCTATAGCAGAATTAAAAGCCATAAAAAAAGGCATCGACATCTTTGTCTCTTCCGAATGGTTGTTGAAAGGAAGACTGATTATTGAGAGTGATTGTAAATCAGCAGTGGATTGGATTAAATCTCTTTCGTCGGTTCCTATTTTTCTTACAAATCTAGTCAAAGAGATTGTGTCTATTGTAGCAGAGAATGAGATGGTTGTAAGGTTGAAACCTAGGTGTTGTAATTGCGAGCTAGATAAACTAGCAAAGGAGGGGATTGGTTGATTGAATGTTTTATTTGTAATTGTTAAGCTGTTTTGTGTGTTTTTTTTATAGAAGTTGGAGGTCTCATTAAAAACTCCATTCGTATTCGTTCATATACTAAGAAGTATGTTAACGAACATTGGAAGGAAGAAAAGAGTACCTCATATTTCATTGAATAAAACACCCATTACATACGATACCACGAAATACCCTCAAACGAGGATAAATGCCCTTACATGAAACATAATCACCTAAAACTCTCGCCTTCTCGACCACAAAAATCTAGAGGCAACCACCTTATACCTAAAAAAAACCTCCATAAAAAGGAAAACATCCCAACAGTTAATGATATAACATACAAGAAAACAACACCTGAAACCATTAAACCAAAAACATCCGCCTCTGAAGGGAACTCCACAAAATACCAACATGATTCAAAATCACCAAAAATCAGCTCGATAAGATGTCTTCAATGAACCAAAACCACACTTCCTTCCCTTCAATCAAAGTATCATTGCCACTTAATTCAAAACTCTTTTCTTTTTCTTGTGTTTCTTCACCACACGATTAGTTCTAAATTTCCCAAGGATAGGGGGTACCACTGGGGTGTCTTCCATTAATTGAATTGCGTCACTAGATGAATCATGAGAAGTAAAGAGACCCATCATAAGAACATCTTCCGAGGCCCTGAGGCTAAATCCATCAGAATCCACATCCTCCATTGTGTGTAACCCCAATTTAATACTCGAATTCTCATCGCTTTTGACACTCTTTATGAGTGGAACCTCTTCTAATTGGGTACCTTCAATTGCAACATCTTCGACGGGGCAATTTAAACCTGAGGATGACACTGACGATCCTGACAAAGAATTCTTCGATGTATCCCCGAGAGAACAAGTCAGATCTGGAGAATCATCGACTTCCTCAGGGGTCCAAGAAGTTGGTTTGAAAGAAGGCTCAACTTCATGCACCATGATTTCATATAAATTAGAGTCGACCTTCAAACTCAACGACTCATCAATTCTCACTTTAGACTCTGTGAGGATTTGAAGTTTTGCACGATCAAAAGATGAAGGAAACTGAGAGCTTTCATCAATTGATATAAGTTCGCCCCAACTAGCCGTAATGTTCTTGAACGTACCCCAATTCCACGCGTGAAACGGAATCCCTTCGCAAACAACCCATACTCGATGGCATTGAACCACTAGACTCTCCGACCATGGTTCAACTCTGGAAAACCACTCTGCAAGATTCTCTGATTGTTCATTCTTAACGCTTCTCAACAAAGCAGAGTCCTCGAATATCATGAGAACTACACTCCCAGCAGCTCTCATTAACGAGAAACCATTGAGACCTTTGTCTTGCATTTGGCTAGCAAGATCGCCTATTTTGGTATAGTTCTTGCACCACCCCATTAGGCAGTTATCCAAAACTTGAAGTTTAGCTTCGTCGACCACACCGATTACTGTATGGAGATTGTTACTTGTAACATCTTCCCTCTCATGCTTTTGGTGAACCACAGGCAAAGACTTTCTCCAAAAAGAATGTCTTGGGTTGTATATGGCAAAAGAGACTCCAAATTTACTACCATCAATGCGAGCGCCATTCAACTTTGAGATCGCTCTCCTGGCTTCTCCAATCTTTGCAAAGCGAATGAAACCGAACCGAAACCCCTTTGAATTCCTTTTTGTTGGAATAAAGGCGTCAATAACCTGACCGTATGGACAAAATAACGATCCAAACCGCTTCCAATGGATCTTCTCTGGTAAATTAACAATGTATAACGTAAAGCAGCCAGTTCTATACCCATTGTAGATTCTTGGATAATCTTTCTTCCACCAGTGATTAAGACCATGGGAATCCTGTGGTAGGATTTCCGCCTCAGAAATCTGCACAATGGCCTCTTCCACGTTCCTTGCTTCAACCAACGAATCATCCCTATTCTTGTTTGTCACCAACACCATCCTCTCATATTCATCTGCTGCCACTGTACTGCTCAGCTTCTTCCTCTCCTCCTCTGATTTCTGCACAGTCCTTGTCTCCGATTTCGTTACTCTGCTTCAGTCACCTTCGACAGTATAAAATCCACCCGTTTCGCCTTAAAATCTGATTTTTTCAAAGGCTTAATGAGCTCATTTTCCTCTATCTCGGACTGACGACGATTTTTATTCTGATGAGCTGAGGTTTCTGCTCGATCCTCTATTACTGCCACACGATTCTTGGACGTCATTTTTGAATGCAGATTTGAACGAAAAACCAGAGAAGTGTAATGCTAGGGAAGATATGCCTCCGTACGTGAAAACCCAGAGCCAGCAACGGCGATCTGGAAATATAAGTTTTTCTCAGGAAGATTTCCGTTGAACGGCAGTGGGTATTCACAGTAGAGTACTTGGGTTTTTGTCACGAGCTTCCAGCGAGCACAGTGGAACCGTTGAAACGAAACTCGGAAGACTGCTGGTGGAAAAGAACGGCGGAGAAAGGCAAGTAGATTTGCTCCGATTGAAGAGGAATCTAACAAAAAGAACCAGTAATAAGGAAACGCTGTGGGTAGACGAAGATCCTTGAAAAAACGGCGTCAAAAGGAGGTCGGAGTGCGGCGGTAGACGGTGGTCGGAGGACGGAGGACGGCGGACAGCGGACGACAAGCGACGGACGGTGGAAGGCTAACGATGGATGACGGTTTTGTGTGTTTTAGATAGCAGTTGTAATAGAGAATTGTTTAAGTATTATGTAATTGGTTTATCAATAATATATTAAGGCACTCTTTTCCTTCTTCCGCTAGACGGTTCTTGCCTAACGATAAATGACTTCTATGAGGGAGGTTTTTAATGAGGCCTACTCTTCCTATAAAAAAAACACATGAGCTAAGACACAAATTGAGCATGTATCAATGAATGAAAAGTAAAGAGAAAGGGGGAAGGCCCAATACCATCAATGGTTTGCTGGCAGCTTGCTAACTCCAATGTAAATAAGGGATCCATAACTTGGGATTGTAGCTCAAGAGCTGTATGTAATCGCAAAAGAAGTCATCAATTTTATTTCCATTTTGAAGAAGATGACAACTCACCACATCCCTCCAAACCCACATCTTGCAAGAATTTTACCATCTATTTAGGGAGTACAATCAGGAATTAAATAACTGTAATTGATACCTTTTTTACAGCTTCCCCACTCATGTCCTATAATATCTGGGATATGATCAAACCAGCATCCATCAAGTTCCTTTCGAAGACATTCTCGGGACTGCTCAAATGAAGTCTGTCAATAATAACTAGAAAATATAAAACTTTAGAAAATTTTCTCATAATCACGAGTATTAAGAGAAATCCAACCTGCAAATGATGGTTTATGCTTTATTATAACAACAAGCTACAACTAAGTAAAGGTTTCAGCTTCTTACCAAGCATAAGCAAGAAATTTTCATCCAATTTGTTCTAATATGAAAATGTAGGAAGCAGCAATACTTCCATTGATATTAGTAATTTAAAGAAAGCACCGCAAATCAGCAAGATGCTTACATTGAATAGGTAGACATTGTCGTCAGTGAGCATATTTCCATCACACTGAAGTAGCTTTCGCAAAAACCACCCTGTATGCCACTGTATTGGTGGGGAAACTGGTGGTTGACATGCCAAAACCTTCAATAATGCCTTCAAAATCTATTTTAAAATGAATGGAAAGAATAGTAAGAAGTCATGAAATACTGAAAGATAAGAAAACCATGAAAAGAGAACCAAAATTTCCCGGCCACGCCTATCAACAAATGAATGTAAAGCACAGAAAAAGGTGTAGTAGTAGTAGTAGCGCTCTACCCTGAGGCATAAGTCTCACCAGAATACTTCCATCCACTTTTGCAAACGCTGACTCACAGTTCTGAGAGAAAGTAAACCAGAAGTGTCAGATAACAAATAAATCAATAAATACAAAGAACCGTGGGATATCATATTCCAAGAAACAGAACTTTTTAAGTGACCATATTTTAAGATGCTAATCTTATCTAGATAATTCTTTCCACATTCTCGAAGAAGTGAGAATTCTCAAAATAATTTATGCATTAAATAAGAAATAAAATTGCATTCAAGATATTGAAGAAAGAGAGACATGCACAGAAACAGAAAGAAAAAAAAGGGGGGAAAAACCCATCCCAGGACAATAAATATATTATTCATTTGGAAATAGGAAGTGAGAAGCAACTACTACATAAGAACTTTAACAGAAATCCTAACAGCAAGAACTTGATGCTGCAGTAGTAATTCCTATCAGCAAAACTAATTTATAGTTATACCCATCACACCAATGAGAACAGAGAAGAGAAATAACAGGATAGCTCAAAAGAGAACAGGTGGCGGTCCTTCATCCAATTGGTTGTTTGACAAGCATGATCTAATGTATAGTTTCAGAGGAAATAAATCTCTTTAGACACATATGAGATCCATTCTTACTGTCAAGCCCTGATTTTGACTCATTCTGAGCAGTGATGCCGGATAATGCTCCAGATCTATAGGATAAGACAAAATTACAATTTTTTGTAACAAAAAGAGGATCATTAAGGAAATAAAAATAAACGTTGATGTAAGGATTCCTGTCTTATATCCAAAGAAGAATACTATATTAAACAAACTGAAAGGACATAAGGTACCTTTGTTCTCTGCAAGAGTAAGCAATAGAAATAAAGATGCTAGTGATATACTGTGATTTTCTGAAAACAAATATGCGAATATCCCAAACCTGCAACAATAACAATCCCAAAAAATACAAATTATAATTAATTGCAATTTTGCAACCAAAATAGGAAACAGCAGCTACATAAAGAACTGTTGTGAATCAACAATGTAGTCCATCAAATATATAGTTGTTTTCCTTATATATTCAGTTATAAGAGCACCTAAATAGTTCTGCGTTTTCTAGTTCCCAAGTAATGATCAAATGTTAAGGAAGCATATTATTATTATTATTATTTGATAAGAAGAGGAAGCCTCGTTAAACTCCCCTTCATGATTGAAGGAACGCCTGCTGGAATTCCTTAATCAACAGAAGGAGGAAAAGAATGCCTCAAATATTATTGATAAAAAAGTATTACAAAGAGAAGACTACTTCCAATAACAACCCCCCTTACAACTGAAAGCCCGAAAAACAAAAAGAAAGAACCACCCAAGCTGAAACTCCCTAACTTAGCCAATAACAGATTTAGCGAAACCATCTGCCTCTATATTAGCTGTCCTAGCTACCCAACGAATAAGACCCTGCTGAACTCTTAACCTATCAAGGAAGCATATGAATTAAGTATATATACATTTTAAATATATTTATTGCTACCAGGTAATGGTGAACTCTTTTAGCATGACCTAAGCCTCCAGATTGGTGAAGTCATTCCCAAGTTATAACTTTAATAATATTTTTTAGTTGGAATTTGCTTAGTGGCAAAACATCATTTTTCCATTAGACCAAAATATACACATTAATATTGGCATTGGTTCTTAAGAAAAAAATGAAACCATAATCAAAGCATTTATAAATACCCGCTTCTTTATGAGAAAGAGTTTATTGACACTGTGAAGACCAACTATGACATCAGAATAGGAAGACACCAACCTATCTACATGCACATCATCATCCCAAGGGGTGACATCATAATGAGAATTTGAATATGTATGCTCATTTGAATGCTGAAGTAGATAGTTTATATTGATTTCTTCTCCTCCTCCAGCCTTGGGACCAGATATCTTGATTCTTATATCATTTAACACGTGCAGAAGAGGACTAGAATCACCTGTGCCACCAGCCGTATCCCCATTGGTAGCAATAGCATCTCTCTGACATAATGCCATATAATGATACAAGAGAAGACCAGCCACTCCATTAATCAAATGTTTTCCACCAACAACTTGAAGAAGCTGAACAACTATGTACAAAGAAGTGACTGCTGAGATGTAGCTACCCTGATAAAAATAATTGATGAATGAATCTTTCATGTTGAGAAAGCTTAGAATAACAGATTTCCAAATATCACTAACATTAACACGCTGACAAACAGGTGTGAAGATACAATTAGACATTCCATCAACTGAATTCTAATTTGGAGCAGTTTTCGTTTCCTTTTATTTTAATTTGCTTTGTCCCAAAACCTTCCCCTTTTTTCTTTTTATTTTCATCTCTTTTCCTTTTGCAGGAAAGGGTCAAATGTTATCTGGTGTATGAACTAAAATCCAAGCCTATGGTACGGTCACCGGAATATCGTTCTACTTCGTTTTAAGGTGGCAAACAATATTTAAAAACAAGGAGGAAAGAAGATAAGTCCATGACCAAATCTAAGAATGTCCAAGGGAAAGAATATTCTCGTCCACTTTCCTCTACATTCTGCGCATAAAAGCAGAGCACTGCCCGACTGTTAAAAACATGGCATAAGAGAGAGTTTCAAGACATTATTCCAAAAATACAGAGTCCAACATGTAAAATATGAAAGAAGCAGATCTATCATGAATTTGGGTTATCACACACATGATACTTCTATTCTTTTAAAGCATTTGTAAATTTCTTAAGAACTAGAAATACAAAACCTAAAACAAAAAGAATCATAAGGGTGATAACTTACTGTATTCACTCCTAACTTCAGTAGAGGAAGCAACAAGGGGAAAATAAGTACACTGAGAAGGTTTTTGGTAACTACTCTACTTAATTGCGATTCGCCAACAGAAAGCATGTCCTTGAAGTAGTAAAGATTGTCTATGATTTTATCAGTTTTCAGAAATATGTCCTTGTTTTCTTTACAAGTGCATTTCTCCCTGCACCATTGCAGATTCCTTAAAAGTTAGGACTTTAGAATTAACATGAGAATTAATTATAAAAATCCTTGAAACATATTGAAAGCAACATACTCTATGGAGTGGACAAGGGCATCTAGTTGTAGACATTGCTCCCTTAGACTATAAACCAAGTCTGAAAAGTAAATCGAGGCTGGAGCTGTTGTTATAAATTGATAGACATTATCGTCACAAACTGCATAAACCAAAATAACAGCAACGCAAACATTTTAAGCTTCCAAAAATTCAATAAATCAGAAATTTTAAGATACAACAGATGATTATTACTATTGTATATGTTGAGAGTTAATGCACGTATAGCTGTTTGAATCATCTTTTCCTCGTGTTGAGCAAATTTAAGAGCCTCACTGTACAGGGGAAATGAGACCACTACATCCTGCAATGACAAAGGGTAAAAGAAAGGTGAAACAGGAGAAAGTTCGAAATTAATTTAATGATCCATATAGGAAATTGAAGATAAATCATGCAAGTGTAGGAAAAAAATGTTTAGCTTCTAAAAAAATTGGAGGAAAGAAGAAAAAGAAAAAACCGTGAAAACAGGACATTAAAGTGAAGAGAAAAGGTGTTTTAATATGTCTATCTGCGTTGAAGTGGAGCTCTTTATCCATAGAATTCATGTTTATAGAATGCTAAAATTACAACACACACACACACGTGAATTTTGCTAAATGATTTTAACCTGAGACTCAGACAATATTGGTCCCCGAAGAAATACACCCATAAAACAAATTAAATCAAAATTCATTATCATTACACAAGAAAGTTGTCAAACATATTTTTTTTGTTTCTTTTGTGGTACTCTACAATCTCTCTATCTTAACATAAATGATAAAAAGCACTTCAGGTAGGTGTGAAGATCCTTAGGTGTCTCAAACAAGAGAATGCAACCATGCCTCATAGGCTTGTGACCTACCAAAAGCTTCATCAGAAGAAACTCTCCTCTCTTCATTTGCTATAACAGAAAAATATATAATTTTGCACATGGTCATCAGAAATTCTTTTAAAGGCAGCAGGAATATAAATGCTGGTGAAGAAGGGATCTAGGGCTAAGGGAATTATGTAAAAAATGCCGTTATGCAGCATTCATTGCATCAAGGTTTCTTTCTTAAGTAATTTTAGCATTCTATAAACATGAATTCTATGGATAAAGAGCTCCACTTCAACGCAGATATTAAAACCTACAAATGAAACGCTTTAGAAATAAACCATTGTGCTCTGCTTGAAAACCTTTAACTTACCCCATTAAACTTAACAAGAAGGCAAAGCGTGTCTCTGCTTATTTTGCTGCTCACTGCTCTGGTTTAACAGAAAAAAACATAAGATGTGAAAGAAAAAGAAATCCGAGGAAATAATCTGTTTCAATAAATGAAAGTTATACTGTTATGCTTTAGAAATTTAAGGGATAAAGATTAATAACACAACCTTAAGAAAGATACGTAATAAAGAGCAAGATCCCCTGTATTGAAGTTATATTGATGTTCTACGATGTTGTTGATATAGTCATTGCTTAAACAATAGTCTGCATCGCCAAATTTGCAAGAACTACGATGTTGTTGATATAGTCATTGCTTAAACAATAGTCTGCATCGCCAAATTTGCAAGAACAATAGTCAAGGCAACAGAAATAATTTCAGAGACTGCGCAGAAAAAGTAAAATGCATTTTTGCACATGGAATATCAACATTTATATTTTTTTTTTTGATAGAAAGAGGCCTCATTAAAATCCTCCTTCAATCCCTCCATGTTATGAGAGTAACATGAAGGAACAACGAAGGAGGAAAGGAGAGCCAAGAAAACTTTTATTCACAAGAACCAGATTACAAGATTGAACAAACTCCTACACTTCCAACAGAAGAACATAAAACTTAACACTAAACATCCAACAAACAGGGAGGTACAATTCCTGTTAAACAACACAACAATAACCAAAATCACCCTATCCAGTCTTTAGCAAGTTTATCAGTTTCCCAGTTTGCCGCCCTTGAAATATGCCTAAAAATAATATCCTTTCCAATCAAAAGCGAAACTATATCCTTCACCAAGGATAGATGCAAAGGAGCGAAACTATATCAACATTTATATTTGTGAACATTTCTGGAGACATGCAAACAGAAAGACAGAGAAATCATTAAATAACCAAGAAGTTTTAACATACATATCTATGGCACTAAGCATCTTACAAATTGCATGTTCACTATCCATGTTTTGAATCATTATGCTTAGATACTGAAGCAATGGAGCCTCAATTGTTGAACTTGTACTGATCCTTAGTACCCGTACAAACTCTGCTAAAACTTGGTATTCCATAAAACAGCTGAAATTTTTTTAAGAAATTCAGATTTCATCAAAAGCATACAGAAAGACATAATCATTACATTAGAAGATGTGTCCTGAGTAAATTCATACTCAAATATTGATGGGTCTTTTCTGTCCCCATATGTCACTATCTCTACAATAGTTTGTAGCAGATCTACAACTGCATCCTGCACAAGAGAAAGAACAAAGAGGGCTAATTTGAAAAGTTCATATATTAGTCATCAGGACAGGATTATAATCCAATACATCAAGTAGTTGTTCAACTTCTTTTCCTTTTTTACGGATAGGGATGAGTTTGTTAATTGCCTTTTTAATATCTTTTAATGATGGATTTATTAGCTGAAATATATTGAAGTTAATGGTGAATTGATGTTGGTTTCTTGACGTTTGAAATATACTAAATTAATTAATAGCCTAATCTAAGTGTCAACGTATTATTGGAGGGACACAAAAAGGGGCACTATAAGTGGGCAGAAGAATTCTGTTCTTTAATTATATATCCGACCGAACAGAAATCTTCTGTCCCTTTACCATGCCCCTAGTTGTGCCTCGCCTGTAAATTTTTGACACGTGTCTTAGGGTTTCTCTTTACTTACTTTTTCATTTAACGGCAATATAAATATTAACTTCAACCAAAGTCTGCAACACAGATCCTTTAAGAATTCTTTTCCATGAAAGATTGATTAGTTCAAATTAATTTAATTGATTGATTAATCAAAGCATTAGAACAAAGAAATTTTACCCACTTAATTAACTTTACCCATCTCGATTTCTCCCTTATGCGTTCTTTATTGCTATGTGTTGGAAATCCTTAAATTAAGGAGATTCTCTACCTTAGTTCTAGGAATTTCCTTGTAAATATTAACCATAATCTAATTACTGATTTATAGGGATAGGCTTATTATTAGAGATTATTTCCTTGTAAATATTAGAGATTATTTCCTTTTTTAATTTTTTTTCCTTCTATGTTAAAAAGGGTGTACTCCTATTCGAAGAAATAAGAGACTTTTCTTCTTCCTAAATCTGTTCATGGTATCGAGAGCAATAGGATTCATTCGATCCTACTCATTTGTCTCTCATCTCTCTTCCTAAACATTTTTTTCTCTCTCATGGGTGATATCAATGAAACCCTCTCTAATTCCTGCTCAAATAGGTCATGGTGTAGCCACTGTAACCGGGTTGGACATATCAAGGAGAAATGCTTTAAACTCCATGGTTAACCTGGAAAAAATCAAAAAGAAAACAAGGCAGCAATGATATCTACTAATGAAGAAGATGCCCAGGATGTTCGACTAACCAAAACTCAACTTGAGGCTCTTCATAAACTCCACGGGACTCCTACAACCATTGGATCACTAGCTATTCAAGGTACTGCCTTAAATACTACACATGAACCAATCTGGATACTAGATTCGGGTGCATCCAACCACATGACAGGTAATCTAAGTTTGTTTCACACATATTTACCTTGTCATGATCACTCCCGGATTCATATAGCTGATGGATCTTACTCCCCGATGGTTGGAATTTGAATGATCAGACTTACTGAAAATTTTTCCATTGATAAAGTTCTATATGTTCCAAATCTTTCTTGTAATTCACTCTCAATTAGCAAGCTTACCAAGGATGAGAAAGTACTTGTTAAATTTTCTGCTTCCGGTTGTGTGGTTCAGGAACAGGAATCGGGGAAGATGATTGGCACTACTAAAGTTGATGGTGGCTTATATATTTGGAATAAAAACAATTCACAAGAAGGGATGGCCTTATCTACATCGAAAGAAGAATTTATCATGCTATGGCACCGTAGACTAGGACACCCTAATTTTATGTACTTGAAGAAACTGTTTCCTCTACTATTTCTAAATCAGAAAATAAGTTCCTTGAATTGTGAAGTTTGCCAACTGTCTAAACATACTCGTGTCCCTTATCCTTTGGAACCTTATGTTCAATCTCAACCTTTCTCTTTAATCCACAATGATCTATGTGAAGCCAGTCGAGTAAAAAATGTCACAGGGGCTAGGTGGTTCATAACATTCATTGATGACCATACTAGAGTTTGTTGGGTCTATCTTCTCAAAGAAAAAACCGAAGTCTCTAGAGTCTTCCAAAGTTTTCATTCAATAATTCGAACTCAATTCAATTCCAAAATTCATACCCTTAGAACTGATAGTGGGAGAGAGTACTTTAATTCTATCCTAAGCCCTTATCTTTCTGAGCAAGGAATCATACATCAGAGTTCTTGTCCCGACACCCCTCAATAAAACGGGGTTTCCGAGAGGAAAAACAGACACATTGTAGCTGTGGCTTGTGCTCTTATGTTTACTATGAGTGTACCGAAGTATTTATGGGGAGAAGTTGTTCTCACTGCTTGTTATCTTATAAACCGACTCCCATCAAAGGTATTAAACTTTCAAACACCTTTACATACTCTTCAAAAAAAAAATTCCCTTGTTTCGTGCTCCTAATCTCCCAACCAAAACTTTTGGTTGCAAAGCATTTGTCCACAATCATCAACCTAACCGATCTAAACTTGATCCTAGAGCCCACACTTGTGTCTTTCTTGGATACTCACCTACACAAAAGGGGTACAAATGTTATTCTCCAACCCTACACTGAATGTTTGTGTCCCATGATGTTACTTTCTTCGAAAACGAGCCATATTTTTCAACCTCTCATCTTCAGGGGGAGATATTTAGTGAAGATGAGACCTTAAACAACCTTCTCATTATACCTCAAGACTTTATCAATCATACCACCACTACAAAACCTGCTAAAAATCCTACAGCCACTGCTGAAATTCCTACAGCATTTGTAATTCCTGATTTCTGTTTTACTCGACTCCACTGTGCAACAACAAGAAACAAGGGCGATTAATCGTACAAATGAATAAAAACAACCCTCTCCTTCTGAAAAACAACAAGAAAAAACTCAGCAACTTCGTCTATATTCTCGGAAACATCAGCTGCAAGAAACTGAAACAGCAGTGCCAATGCCATCTTTACCCGAGGACTGTCCTGAGGAAGAAGTCTCACCTCCTTCGCCTTCCATCTATCTTCCAATTGCAATCAGAAAGGGCACGAGAAGCTGCACTCAACATCCCATTTCTCGGTTTGCATCTTATGGGAACTTGCCTAAATCCTACAATGCTTTATTTCTAATATTCACTCTGTAGAAACTCCAAAGAACATAGAAGAGGCTCTTATGTCAATCAAATGGAAGCAAGCCGTGTTGGAAGAAATAAAGGCTCTTGAAGACAATGGAACGTGGGAAATATCTACACTACCTACTGGAAAGAAGACAGTAGGTTGTAAGTGGATTTTCACTATGAAAGTTAAACCAGATGGGAGCATTGATCGATACAAGGCTAGACTTGTGGCCAGGGGTTTCACTCAAACATATGGGTTGGACTACGAGGAAACATTTGCACCAGTGGCCAAACTAAATACTATTCGAGTGCTCTTCTCAATTGATGTCGATTTAGATTGGCCTTTGATCCAATTGGATGTAAATAATGCTTTTCTCAATGGAGAATTAAAAGAAGTCTACATAGATTTTCCGCCCGGATTCGAAGGAAGCAAGGGCTAAGTATGCAAGTTGAAGAAGTTTTTGTATGGACTAAAACAATCCCCCAGGGCTTGGTTTAATCGTTTTGCCAAAGCCATGGCGAGTAGACAGTATATTCAAGGTCAAGCTGATCACACCTTATTCTACAAACACTCGGCTAATAGGAAGTGTTGTATTCGCATTGTATACGTTGATGACATAATATTGACGGGAGATGACTCTATTGAAATTGAAAGACTAAAAGAATTCTTAAGTCTTGAGTTTCAATTTAAAGACTTGGGGAATCTTAGATATTTTCTTGGAATGGAGATAGCAAGGTCAAAGGCAGGTATTTCAATCTCTCAAAGAAAGTATGTCCTGATCTACTTTCTGAAGTCGGACTGTTGAGTTGCAAACCAGCCGAGACTCCCATGGAACCCAACCTTAAATTAGGATCTGATAAGGATGGAGAAGAGGTAGACAGAGGGAGATATTAAAAGTTAGTGGAAAAACTTATCTATCTTTCTCATGCTCGTCCAGACATAGCGTTTGGAGTAAGTGTTATTAGTCAATTTATGCATGCTCCTAGGGAGAAACATTTGGAAGCTGCTTACAGGATATTGAGAGACTTAAAAGGGACTCCGGGTAAGGGGTTGCATTTCAAGAAAAATGTAAATCGAAGCATAGAAGTCTACACTGATGCAGACTGGGCAGGTGCTATTAATGACAGGCGCTCCACAAGTGGTTACTGCAGCTATGTTTGGGGTAATCTCGTGACATGGAGGAGTAAAAAGCAGTCGATTGTGGCATGCAGCAGTGCTGAAGCTGAGTATCGAGCTCTGTCCCAAGGTATATGTGAAGGAATGTGGCTACAACGGCTAATGGGAGAACTAAAATTATCCTATACAACACCTATTATACTGAACTGTGACAACCAAGCAGCAGTTAATATAGCTCACAACCCTGTACACCATGACCGCACCAAGCATGTGGAAATCGATCGCCACTTTATTACAAAGAAAATTAACAAAGGGGAAGTTTGTGTTTCATATCTACCTACTCGACAACAAGTAGCAGATGTGTTAACCAAGAGCTTGAGCAGAAAAAAGTTCGAAGAAATTATGGGCAAGCTAGGTTCGATTGACATCTACACTCCATCTTGAGGGGGAGTGCTGGAAATACTTAAATTAAGGAGATTCTCTACCTTAGTTCTAGGAATTTCCTTGTAAATATTAGCCATAATCTAATTACTGATTTTTAGAGATAGGCTTATAATTAGAGATTATTTCCTTGTAAATATTAGAGATTATTTCCTTTTTTTTTCTGCTATGTTAAAAAGGGTGTACTCCTATTCGAAGAAATAAAAGACTTTTCTTCTTCCTAAATTTTTTCACTATGGATATGCAATCTTGCATATTGATTAATGCAGCAGTTCATGGGATCTTAACCATTTCATTTCATGCCCAAGAAGATTAGACTTACATAAGTTTTATAGACAATTTACTCATTTTCGTTAAGTGGATGCAATACAAATGTTACAATTACAAGCTTCTAGACGCTCTCTCTAAATTCTTTCAACTAAAATTAAATTGAATGGAACTGGAATAACTACAAGATCGAAAATAGAGAATGTTGCTACTTTTAGTTTCAGTAAGTAGAATGTTACTATGGTGTTAATCCACAAAACACTACAACTACATGTAAGCATGAATAATCTTAACAATCAGAAAGTTTAGTAGATGTTATTGTAAAAAAGTAACATAGATATTCTATCGGAGATTAATTACAGAGAAATTAAAGGCAAGATGAAAACTTGATGTTTTTTTGGACTTTGCAGAAGAGAGATTTAAACAATGGAGTCAATCATCAAAGCTGTTTTTATGGTCATTGAGGAAGGAATAAGTTGTTTTTATGGCCATTGAAGAAGGAATAAAGCTTAGTTGTCTTTGAATCAACTTCTTCACTAAATCACATCTAATTAAAATATGGAATCATTAACAACAAGATTACTAAAGTTCTTCATCTTGTTTCCTTTCCACAACACCCTCTCACTTTTATCAACCTTTTTTTTACCTGGAAACTCGTTGATTTAGTGTTTTTCATTATCGAAGTCAGGCCAAAAATTAAAAACAAAAACTAACACTCATTTGTTGGTTCAGTATTTTCATGGATAAAATTTTAGGAAAGAGATGCAATCTTTTTTACTCAAGTTACTGTCAACATTGTTATGAGAAAAGATAATTATTAAGAAAACAAAGAAACATGATTGTTGCAGACTTTGGTTTAAGTTAACGTCTGTTTTGCCGTTAAAATGAAAAAGTTAGTCAAGGAAAAGAAAAAAAAACAAGAGTCAAAAAATAATAGATGAGACACAATTAGGGGCATGGTAAAGGGGCAGAAGATTTTTGTTCATATCCGTACTTAATAAGTTGAAATTTAACTTCCTTATTTATAGTTAAACAGATACGTGGTAAACATATGAACCTACTCGTGGAGTTTTCAATCTTTCACCGCCGTTGTATACATAGATTAATACTCCGAAGTAGCATATAATAAAAATAATAATTAAAAGTCACATAAGTTACCCTGTTCTGCTCATCGACAACTTTGATCTGCCGCAATTCAGTAACTACAGATCTATATCCACGAACAAGATTTTAGGGGGGAAATCGTCAAAATAATAAGCATCAAAATGAAAATCGATGACCAATCCACAAGATACAAAAATGTAATGTGAAGAAAATGTAACTGCTAAACCTTATTAAAATCATCAAAATAACGAGAAATAATAACAAAATTCAAAGGAAGAAAAATTCGTACCACATTGTAATTTGATGGAATACAATTAATTACAGTTTAAACTTGTGTAAACATTAAAAAAAAGATTTGAGAGGAAGAGAGAGAAATTACTTGAAGTGTTGAAGAGAGAAGCGATCGATGGATCGCCAGAGCAAGCGCCACATCGTGAAAAATGGAGGAGATCCGTTGCTGTTTTTTACTTTTTTTACTTTGGTTGAGAGGAAAGAAACCCTATAGGAAGAGGAGAAAATGTGTAGAAGGGAAGGAATTTTGGTGGAAGACGTTCAGTTGAGTTTTGTCCGCGCGGCAAGGGGACTGGAGTGAGGCTTTTGCTTTGCTTTGGTTTTGGTATTAGATGCTGTGTACTGCCAACGAACTTTCAACGTTTCCAACTTTTACGTCAAATTTATTAAGTAGATAGAAATTGTCTCATTAACGACAAAGCTTTTAAATTTTCATAGCTAGCATTGTTTTCTTTCTTTCTCTTTTTTGGAAATATTTTCTTATATAATTAGGGAGGCGTCGTTCTAAACTTGGATGATGGGTGTTAACATCAACTAATAAAAGTTGAGATATATTTTAAACAAATACAAAATATTTATACTTGGTAAATATTGAGATGATAAATGGATAGTTTGGCAAATTTTTTACAATAATATGAAAGAAAATTGCTCGAATAATGGTCAGTCGTAATTATTTACTTGAATAATGTATTTTCTACAATTAGATCCGGAGTCACACGGTGATTGGCGTGTCAATGTTGGTGTTGCATGGGCCATGCGTTTTCCTAAAAAAATGGAGGTGTTGCATGGACTACCATGTGTTTCCCCCCTTGTGTCTTTTGGTGATCCATGTGTCTCTCTGCAAGCTCCATGCACGAACCAGCGAGATGCAACATATCAGTTCAATGTCCCGTCCATGATCAATCGCCTGCAAGACTGCTTCCTGCCCGTGATCCTCCTTGCATGCATTTTGTCCGGTAGCAATAATAGTTGGATTATGGTAGCAATTATAGCTGCATTATTGCAGCAATAGTTTGATCCCAAAATTTTTTATATGGGTAATGGGATGATAACCGAAAGATAAAAGAGAGAGAAAACATAAGAGAATGAAAGAAAAGAGAGAAGTATAACACAAGAATTTTGGGAGAAAAAAAAGGAAGAAAAAAGAAAAATATAAGGTAATTTATTTTTTGTTGTTATTTTAAGTTAGTTACTTAATTAGTTTAGATTAAATTATTTTTTTAATATTTAGATTATTTTATTATTATTAAAAAATTATTTTTTTTTTGCAAATTCGTTCAAATGGCATAACAAAAAATCAATTGCTTCATCTTTACGCTCAACATATTTCTAACAATTTGGGATTGATGGTGTTATTATTATTTAATTTAATAAATATTATATTTTATTTGAGAACATATCCGTTATTATTAAATAGCAAAAGTTTGTTTTATTATTAATTGATTAATTTCATGATTTAATTAATTGTAGGAAGACCCACAACGACAACTCGTGGTCCAACAAATGGGATGTTGATAGCGCATGATAATAATTACCAGGTGGATTGTGCTTGCAATACGTAACTTGGAAAGAGGCGGTAGAACCAAATTTAAACAACCGGTGTTTGAGGATATCATGGTTGCATAATCAATTTCTGCTCATTGATAATAATACTAAGGAAGAAGTGTTATATGCAACTCAAGCATATATATTGGAGTTGATTGGGGGGAGTTTCGATGATGGAGAAATCCAGTAATTTAGTTCACATTCGGTATCTCTCATTTTTGAGAAATCTTTAGAATACTATTCAATATAGTTGGATATCGGCGATATTGGCATTCTTATAATGTGAGATGTGAAAGACGTCAATAATCGTAAATGATATTATTACAATGGAAATCAGTCGATTCTGATGTTACTACAATCATGGGTTTGTCATAGACTTCTATTTTTATAAGGGTGTAAATGAACAAAGCGTTCGGTAAACTGTTCGTGAACCGTTTGTATAATGTTCGTTTATGTTCGTTTGTTAAGCTAAATAAACGAACATGAACCAAAAAATATTTACGTTCATTTAATAAACGAACAAACATGAACAAAGGTGTGTACGACTCGTTTATGTTCACGAACAAGCTCGTTTATGAGCTATTTTATCAACTCGTTCATTTATGTTCATGAACAAACTCTTTTACTCGATTCTCCTTTTTCTTTTATTTTTTTACATTTTAAATATTGGTGAAGATAAGGATTAAATAGAACACTTGATAAAAATTTCATTTTAAACTATGAATTTTAAGAAGTTTAAGCACGAGTGGAATAATTTTATCATTTTTCTTTAGCTTGCAAATGAAATTAAAAATCGAATGTATAAACGAACGATAAACAAACATTAAAACAACGCTAAACGAACACTAAATGAACATGTTCATGAACATATAAATGAACACGTTCGTGAACATTAAATGAACATGTTCGTGAACAATAAATAAATGAACATGAACACCTTCAAAAATAAATAAAGGAATATGAACACGATATTGAAAATTTAAACGAACATGTACTGAACACGAACACTTTCAAAAATAAATAAACGAACACGAACATAACATTGTTTGTTCAAGCTCGGTTCATTTACACCCCTACATTTTAACACCGATTAGTCTAACTGCGTTTGATTTTCCTCTTGTCAGAAAGTAAAATTTCTATTCGATTTTGATTTAAAATGTTAATTAGAATTTTATTAAATATTTTGATTAAAAATAATTAATGAATATATTTAATTGATTTACAGATGGAGGCATAAAATAGAAATAACAGGGTTGGTGCATAATAACATTAAAGAATTTAGGTTGAATATTGACATAAGAAGTAAAAAAAGAGGTGTATATATAATTTGATTAATTGAAATTTTTATTATTATATATTATGCTATCTTAGGTTATGTTAATCTTAAATTTTAATTTTTTAGATAATCTATTTTTAAATTTATTTTACAGTTTAATTTGAAGTCATATGTCGGTGATGAAATTACTTCGTGTGTGCCGCAAGATGTTTGGGATAATTGTCAATATTGGTGTGTTGTTACACCGTTGATCCATTTTGCTTTTGTGAAGTACCAATCTTCGGATAGAGTGTTGAGTAGTTTGGCTTCCACCAACCTATTTTGCAACCTCCATACAATCATAATGAGCTCACTGACTGAATGCAAATAGTAAACTTGACAATAATTGGGCTGAGAAGAATATATACTTTATTAATATTTGGAACAAAAGAGGCTCGTGCTTGCCATCTCTTACTCCCATTCAAGATGATAACATTAATTTTTAGAATTCGGCTTACCTTAACTATTATTAGGATAATGGAAAGTCGTATTACACAACGGAGAGTGAAAGGAGACAATTTCAAAAATTAAAGAAAAAATATGGTAAATTCGAAAAATCTATACCAAGTGAGAGTGCATGTTCATCCCACCATGAAGTAGAAACAACACATGTGGATGATAGCTTATCATAAGTGGTGGATGATAGCTCATCGTAAGTGTTTGATGATTATGCTATTCCGGCATACGTACTAGTGTATGCAGCCTCAACCACCCTATTTTATGCTACATTAGGCACCTATCTACTCTCCTATGTTTGAATCAACGTATAATTTTCATCACATGGCATTTATGATGTTAAATACTACTATTTGTCATTTTACATTTCCACTAGAGATGGGAGAGCAAAACGGTGGGTATATATTTACAACAGTGAATCAAATTCCCTCAGTGAATGAGGATGATGGCTACCACACCTCTGAGTAACAACAACGTCCACAATGCAATCGACGTCTACCTCGACATTATCATTCCACAACACCACGATAATGACAGAACTATAGATGGATCATTGTATAAAAATTAATACTAAATAAAATGTTTGTTATATTGATGTATTCTTTAAATGATGATGGTTTAATTTAGTTTAATTCATCACACTTATTCAAATAAAATGTGGAAATCAATCACACCCGTTAAAAATAAATAAAATATGGAAATCCATCACACTCATTCAGAAAAAAACTAAATAAGAAAAACCAAACATTCATTCTTCATTCATTGAATTTGAAATAAAAGTAGAAAGTCAAATATTTGTTTGTTCAAATACATATATGACTACTGATTAGGAATATGTCTTGGTAGATTTTGACACTTTTTTATTGACCTTCAACCCTACATAATCCACATCTCTTCGATTGATCTTTCTCTCTAATAAAGAAATCCATACTGGTATGAATACAAGTGGAGTCAAGTCGACCATTTGGACTTCTACAAAGCATTGATTTTGACAGCCATGAGCCTTTTTCGGCCAATATGATTCATTTGGGAAATGTTTGAATATATAGCTGTAGACGTTTAATATCCTCTTTATGGGCACATGGATATCTCAAAGCTTGAAAGTGACCACAATCACACTATTTTTGTCGTAAATCAACTCGAAATATTTGACCTTATCCTCAATCATTGCGACGTATGCCTGACACAACAAAATTATGACCAATTCAGTCAAAGTTATGAACAAGCATTGAGGTTATCAATTGCTCATTTGCTTCGGTTTCTTCCACCACTGTAGGAGTCCAAGATTGACCTCTATTTATGAGACACTCAATCTCTCTCCCTTTATTGGACCAAACCTTAGTTAACCTAAAGTATGTATCTTTTACCATTCTCGTTGTTGGGAGATGATGTGTACCTTTTAGTATTGAATTAATGACCTGAACAAGGTTTATTGTCATGTATTCGCATCACCAACCACAATCGTATGCTTACGGCCCTTTTTTCATAAAATTCTTGAACCCTAGTTCCAAACACACTCACTATGAGACCACCTTCAAATTCTCCAACCTTTTATCAAAATTTGGTTGGCATAGCTCATATCCTGTTTCATAATAAATATTGTGTTAAACATCAATTAAAAAACACACAACTGGATACACACATATTGACAATAAAATAAAACTTACCCATGCTACTATCTCACTACGAATATGAGCATTATGAAACTGGTCGATATTGTTCTTACCAATATGGTGGATACAAAATGTGGGATATGCATGCAAAGACATCCAATGACTTTCTGGTCATTCAATTGCCACCAAAATGCCCATTCCTTGATCGAATATCAAGTAAACTCCATCTTTTGGAATGACATGTTGATGTAGATTGGTCAAAAACAAATCCCAAGCCTCTATTGTTTCTCCTTCAATAATGGCGAATGCAACTAGAAATATATTTTGTTCACCATCTTGAACAACTGTTATCA